AAAAAAAAAAAAAACTGCACAAAAATTTGGTCTTAAAACTTACAACTGTTAATCGAAGTGATATCATTACAGCCTGTTCTACATCTTTAATCAGTGATAACAATTTAAATACTTCACGCCAACCGAATCTGAAAATCAAGTCTTTTTATTGTATGAATTTTTTGGCACCACCTTTTGTCTTTTATATATTTCATAGTTGTGGTTGAGATATATCAATGCAGTTTTTTTTTCCCCCCGCCGTTAAACACTGACTTGCGATGGCGAAGCGGTATTTCAGTAATGTTATTCTTTGTCCATCCAATAGACAGTGTTGCATCTGGATAATAACTCTGTGTTCCTTCAATAAATTCTTGTGCATCAACAGCAGGCTGCAATTTTAAAAAGCAGTTAAAATTTGAATAAACGAATATACAGTTATGATGTTGAAGTGATAGTCAACCATTATATATATTTAATTTCTTTCTGTGGCTCTGCATTAATCGAAAAAAGAAAAAAAAACAAAGAAAAAAAATTTTCATGTCTTCAAAGTCAATAAATATTTAAACAGTTATTGTATATTGTTTTTTTTCGGGGGGGAGGGGGGAGGGAGGGAAAGGGGGGTAAAAGAAAGGGAGATGACGAAATAAGGAAATGGGTTTTATTATTGATGTTGTCAATTTTTTATGGACAACAAAAAACCAAAAAGTCTGTCTGTTCGTTTCTTTCTCTTTTTTTTATTTCCTTCTAAAATATTGTGCTTTAAGAATTAACCCCTCTTGAAATTTCCTTTTATTCGTTTCTTTTCTTTCTTTTTTTTTTTGGCGTGAAAGGATGCTATTAAGTGGAACAAATGATTATCCATTTATTCATATATTAACAACGACAATACTACTGCTATCAACAACAACAACAAACAGCAACAGTATTTTTACAATGTATGTTATGGTCGTTGCTGTTTGTAATTGTCGGTAAACCGGTAGCTGTTTGGTGTAAGCTAATGAATAAAGAAAATTGAAGAAGTAATTTGTTCAGACATTAATAAAAACCAGAACAGTTAAGATTTATATGTGCCGTCTGTTTTCTTTCTGATCAATCAAAAATAGTATGCTAAAAGGGAATGAAAGCAAAAAAAAGAAAAAAAAATATGAGAAAAAACTTGGTTTAAACAACGTCTAAAATATGCATAGAAATATATCCATCTATAATACAGTCTTCTGCTGTGATCGATGCGCTTCTATCAGCAAAAGTTAAAAAAGATTTATGATCAGTAATGCCCCAGTTGTAAATGTCAGCAGAAACATGTTTAATAGACATCGGCTGAAAGGTCTCACAGAAAAGCCTTAATAATACCGACTCTGTTGGTCACCCACCAGTTCAGTTGGGCAGCTTTAGACAGACAAAAGCTGTGGAAAATGCTTAGTTGAATCTTTGTTGGAAAAAAAAAAGCAAATAAGTGAAAAAAAGCAGTAACTAACTTCAATACTTCGTGGTGATCGAAAAATATTTGCATGAAGTACCACTGGTGATGTTATTTCATCAGTGGCTGCAAGAAGGTGCTGTAAAACTGGACGTATTACTTCCGTTGATCGGACGTTTATCTTCATTACTGCAAATGATCATAAGTGTCATCAGCGGTCTTTACATTTTTACAAATGTTATAAATTGAGAAAAAACCAAAAGAAAAATATCTTCTTTATTTCTACTGTAATTGAAGAAAATTTATTTCTTTTAAACAAATATTTTTAATTTCATAAAATAATTAAAAGATTGAATTTGACAACTGTTTGGCTACTGCTTTTTTTTTTTT